TACAAAAGTCAAGGAGCACTGAGATAGATATAGCCTATTTAATGTGGTACCACGACACAATACGTTTTAATATCAATCCATAACTGCTTTGGGTCGAGGTTTCTTATTTGATGACATTTGTTTCTTTGAATAAGTAAAAAAAAAATAAGTTACACGCTACCATTTATCCCACTACCCCACAACTTGTTTAAGCCTATGCCAGTGATCTAACTTACATTTTACAATACAAAATTATTTTCTAAATCATTTTTGACTCTTTTAAATATGCTGAAAATACAGGGTGTTTATAATTTCCGTTTTTATAATAAGATGAGAGATTATACAGGGTGTTCTGAAAGTCCGTCAGGAAACTCCGGGAGGTGATTCTACGGCTTAAAATAATAGCAGTATGTAATGAACTTTTTTTTCGAATTGTCAATTGTTTGCAAATTACAGCTTGTCAAAGATCAATAATATTTTTTATTTTTCTATTTAAATAATTTATTTAATTCATGTTCGATTAGTCTCTCACTTGGCACACCCACTAAGACGCTCTATTGGATAAGTCAGAGAAAAGGTTCATTATACGCCGCTAGAGGGCACTTTACCTAGCACTCAAAATTTGTTTTGTTCATAACTTTTTCCTCTTGTTAGACATCAATATCAGAAAAAAGTATGTACTCTTTGTGCAAGTCGATAAATATAACCGTTTACCAGGAAATCGTTATTAATGTGTTAATTATTAAATATCAAATTTTTGATAATTCTTTCTGTAATTAATCAAGTTGCTATGCTTCAAATAAATATCATTAGTAATTTTGGTGTTACGAACATTGTTTAAAGCAGGTATATTTTATTTTTCACCAAATTAATTTTTTTTTTTTTCGGCTCTAATATAGCGTTGTAGATAAATAAGCCAAGGATAATGAATTTACTAATAATATTTTATTTGCTAACGAAGCTGGTTTTACAAGAGATGGTATTACAGTATGGCAACTTGACTAATTGCAGAAAGAATTATCAAAAATTTGATGTTTAATAACACTTTAATAGCGAATAATAGCGATTTCCTGCTAAACGTTTACATTTATCGCCTTGAACTAAGAGCACATAATTTTTCCTGATATTATTTTTCTTTTCAATAATGTTTAAATTTTTGGCAAGAGAAAAAAGTTATGAACAAAACAAATTTTGAGTTCTAGGTAAAGTGCCCTCTAGCGGCGCATAATGAAACATTTCTCTAACTGGTTCAATAGAGCTTCATCTATACTTAGTGGGTGTGCCAAATGAGAGACTAATCGAACTTGAATTAAATAAGTTATTTAAATAGAAAAATAAAAATAAACGCTAATAACTTACAAGCAATTGACAATTCGAAATTTTTTTATTATAATGTTACTATTTTAATCCGTAGAATCACCTCCCTGAGTTTCCTGACGGATTTTCAGAACACCCTGTGTAAAGATTTACATAAGATTTACAAAATTATGTTCAAAATTTAAACAAGAATGGGTGAACCCTTTCCTTTTTCTAAATGTCAACGTCATGTGACGAGAACAAAATGCTGTTTACAAAAGTGATTCACAATAGGAGCCTACTCATTCCTGTGAGCAAAAATAGATTTAAATCAATTTAATTCTCCTCACAAATTTATTTTTAGTAAGAGACATTTTGGGCATTTTGCTGTCAATTTCTCACAAAGATCAAAAGATCATAATATAATGAATTCATAAAAAACTTTATCAAATTAAATAAAAAAATACAGGGTGATGCACGACTTATCCAAAAAAATTTGGGAATAGATGCAGCATGAGAAATGGAATCAATATCGTAAAAACAAAATTTGTAAAATCCTTATAGTTTCCGAGAAAAAAAATATTGAAGTTATAGTACATTCAACCACTACATAGCTGAACAACAAACTGTAGTCTCTAGCGTCATTCGTCACGTGGCCTCAGCAACTACGAATACTGAATTCGGATTTTGCAATCGTCGTTGCGTCGTTGCGATATTTACCTCTTATCTGTGGTGTTTACAATAGGTTTTTAGTAGTTAGTGTCAAAAATGGGTAGTTAGTGTCAAAAATGGTTTGCGTGTACTCGGAGTTGATGGATATCAACACAAATTAATTTTATTAATTAATAAATGCAAAAGCAGTTGAATTTGCCGATATAAAATAGGTGCGATAAAATTCTATTTACATATTTCTTTCCTTGCGAAAGTTTTACAGTGGACCAGTTTCCAGTGCCGTGCAGAAGTGTATTTTTAAATCATTTTCGAACTGCCCTTTTTGATTTTTTCTTTACAAAATTGTATTTGTAAGGGTCCCCTGTACATCCAGAATTTTTTTTGGATAAGTTCTGAATCACCCTGTATATTGTTCTATTAAACAGTTAATAATAAATAATAATTGCATGCCATTAAGTAAGGCGTTGAAACAAATGTTAAGTGTCACTGTAGTATTCATAAAGCCATTTACTTTTTCAAATCGGAATAAAAATGGCGATGTTATAACCTCCTTAGACTGAAACATTGGCTTATTAATACTAATACGTCAAAAAATCGATCCCATAATTTTATTTTTTCGTAGTAATCATATTATTTTTTCTTTAGATTTAGCCTTGAAACCTTCTATATACACTTACCTTTAGAAATACATACATATAATATAGTACATTGTCCCATAGCGAACGCGCGTGATGGAAAATTTGTTTCCTCAAATTCCGTCGTATGAAAATTGATTTTTTTTTCAAACCTTTTTTCATAATTTTCCTACCCACTGGACAGGCCAGTGTAACTTTAAACAGCAGCAAGCGTGAACTACGGCATACACAGATTTGTCAAATCTCGTGTTTTTTTATTCACATATGCATAAGATTTTTGATAATATTACACTCAAATTCAATTTCCATTCCAGCAAAAAATATTCTTCTCGTAGAAAGTCACCAAATAAACTGGAAACTAAAATAATATAGTAAAGTTAACCGAGCACGACGTATTTGGCCATTCTTGTTTCACCAATTTAACATTGGCCGTTTGTTTTTGTCCGTCTACCACTTTGTTGTCATATCGCATCAGGTGTAAAGTGAACTTACATACTCCAATAAGTTATTAAGTTATAAAGCACGTGCTATTGGTCGAAAAGGTTTCAACAACAATCCCCACCGCAGACGCGCTTTCATACACAACCGGGCTTCAGATCGTATATGTAATAGTTTTCATTTCGTCAGTTATTATTCGGGGCTATATTTTGCTGCTGTTTTATGTTGTTTTAGGTTAATTTGAAATATCTGTTACTAATTCGACTAATGTGGCTGAATAAGAAGAACGAGCAAAAACATACTGTATTTTCTATATAATTGTATATATTTTTAATAGCACCTTTAATCTTCCTAAATGCGTCCCTCTCTATTTTTATCACCTAAACTACGGTAATATCAGATGTTATTGACACAAGGATTCCCAACTAAACACAGTGCTTTAAAAAAGTAGTAACAAGTACTTTAATTAACTTGAAATTATTATTTTAAAAGATATTTCAAATTTATCATATTAATAAGTTTATTAGTTGGCTTAAGAAGGTGGCAACACTGGCACTGGCATACATAAAAATTTGAGTGCAGTTAACTAATTATAATTTAAAAAATTTACCCCTAAAAAACTGACCCTCATTTAAAGTTACACTCTTATTTACACTAGCAATTCTGTTATGCCTTATTATGTGGTTAAGTTTACCGTGCCAATAACGGACGATACTAATAGTTAATTAAAATAGAATGTAAGTATCTCACTATTGACAAATGCTGGAATTTTTTAATGCCCATCGGAATCATAGAATGCACTGTCTGAATTTCTAGAAAAATAGGTCCAATACACAAACTTGCAAGACTATTTTTCTTGGATCTTTTGAAAAAAAATGGAAATCATCCCATTATGATTAAGTTTGTATCAAACGCCGATCATTACGTGAAACAATTATTTAATTCATTTAGAAAATAATAATTATTATTGTGGACACTTCGCCCTATTTTAATTTAAGATGTCAATCACCTTTTAAGTCATTAATTTTCCACATTTTTCAATGCAATTCACGGGAAATCGTAGTTTACATCGTAAACTTTATTTTGCGAAAAATTCAAGTCTTAATATTTATAAACAATTGCGCTACGATTTAAAAAAAAATCTTATCTTGGCTCCTTTTGGTCGTAGAGGGTACTTTTTTTATTTTAAAACTGTATTTTTTTGCCAGCTATCCATTGCATCTATTTTCGGTGAGATAGCATAAATAGCAACAATGTTATTCAAATTGTTTATAAGCGAAAAACGCACGGTTTTTTAATGCACAATTTGAGAATGTTAATGTCAAAAAAACGGTGATATTTTTTAATAGGTCGCTTAATTACGTCTTTAAGATTACAATGACGCTTTCAGAATCATGTTTGGTTGAAAATTAACGCCTGTACAGAGGCTTAAAGTTCATAACTTTTGGAGCCTCCGCTATAAACAAATAGAATTGTGCGAAAACTATTGCACCTACAGCGCCCACTTTTGGCACACTTTTAAAGTATGACAAAACCCTCAACTTGTCATAGGTTTTATAAAATTTTAACAATAAATGCGATAGTTATAAACAAATGAAAAAATGGGCACTTTTCTTGTTTTTTTGCAATAACTTTTTTGTTTATTAACCGATTTTAATTTAACCAGTCTCATTTTGTAGATAATTTTACTCCCTATAAGCTGTCTGTGAGTCACTTTTCGCTAAAATTGATGGTTTTCCCTGCAAAGTGAAATAACTGTTTTCCTCACTTATTTGTTTAAATAGAAAAGTTAGCTAATAAAAGTTGTTGACTCACGAGACGACAGATGTCTTGTATTATGTTTCTTTAGACAATTTTACAATAATCTAGCGGATAGAACTTTTTTCGAGTAAAAATTTAATTTGCTTGGTCTATTACATTGTGCCTTAAATTCAACATCAACGCAGTTTGAAAATTATATGAATTTAATTTTTGTTTCAGGGCTGCTGGTAGTCAACTAGTTATGGATCCAAATCAGATGTGCAAAAGGGCACGAAGGTCTCGAGGGAAAATGGCAGACATTTGTAACAATAAACATGGACTGTTAAAACAGATTGCAAATGGTATTGCCCTAGGACAAAACGAATGTCAATATCAATTTAGGTATAGAAGATGGAACTGCACTTCGTCGAAAAGAAGTATAAAAAAAGTTATGTTAAGAGGTAAGATAAATTTAATATCATTCATTGTGTGTAATTGTATTACCTGTGTTACCAGTATGTGGTAATTTTCTATTTAACAAAATTTTTAAATGGAATCCAAAATCAAGAGATAGCGGGTTATTGCAAATTCACAGTTCTGTATGTACATTTATATGAAAACTAGTGAAAATATAAAAACGATTAGCACTAAAATACATTTTAAATAGTATTGGACGATGTAAAATGTAACAATACACCATAAGAAGTACAGTCTGTTCGATATTAAGATAGAATTAATTCCAAGAAGACCCCTGCGTCACTTTCTTGGAATTAACCGCATTCGACACCCGAGGTAGAAAACCATTGGTGTTCACCGTAGCAGCTTGCAGTGCATTTATGTTTTGTAGTTATGAAGGCGTGTTTCTTCGTAGGTGTATCGTCCTGTGCATTTTTAGTGTAATTTCTTATTAAAATATATCAATGGACGTGAAAAATAAAAGAAAGGAACTTAATTCCTATTCGAAGAGTATCGCGTATAACGCGTTAAATTATTTTAAAACAATTTTTCCAAATGAAAATAAAATACAATAATTAAAAAACTATGTTTAGCAAATCTACTTTACATATATATAAAAGTAATATATATATATATATTATTTAAATATTGAGAAAATTTCAAGGCACGCCCCTGTCGCGGTAAATTGTTACAGTAGTTCCAATAACATAATTTTATTGGCATATTCTTTTCTTGGGATTCTATCTCAACAAATATTGTACAGACTGTAATTAGACGTATTTCAAATATAATTTTTTAATTTGTTTACTTTTACACAATTTAATTACTTACGTAACACAATATATTTACATTTTTTTTAAACGATCGCGAAGGACAACCTTTGTTACTGTTAAAATTTATTTAATTCTTAAAATAAAATTTTTAAACAGTTTTTGAGTGATTATTAAACATTAAATTTGACCTTGAAATGCCTTGTCCAGATCACATAAAGAATTACGTTAGACTACCTTGAATGTACAATTTTAATTCGGTATTAAAAATTTGACTTTCAAATGCCCTTAAGGTTGAATAGGTATCAATTAACTCCTATTCTAGGTACTCTACAAATTTTAAAGAGGTAATTTTGAATTGAAACAACCGCACCAAAGTTACTGGCTTGGATATTTTGTAAATGGTAACATTGACCTCAAAATGACCTTAAGAGGTCATTTTAGCCCATGACAAAAGACACCATCTGAATATAAAATTTTCCGCTCATTTTAATTTCGGGGTAAAAAATTTATTTGAAAATTAGAAGTTGACCTTGACCGACCTTGACCGGTAACCTCAAGATCAAATTTAAGGTCAGCAACAGTCCCCCCCAAACCTAACAACTTTTATATAGGTGTTTTGATTTATAACCAGTAGTAATTTACTGGTACTAATACTTGGAACCATTAAACAAGATAGAGATGCATTTGATATATGTACCCTGTTGATTGGTTCACTTGTCGAACGCTTTCCCCCATTACACGCCGTCGTTGAACCGCCGCGGCTTAGGTAAACAATATTTCTACATAGAAAACGTCTTCATATGCGAGAAGCTGATAATGCATTCCGTTCTGCTTCGTTATAAATCAAAACACCTATATAAAAGTTATTAGGTTTGGGGGGGACTGTTGCTGACCTTAAATTTGATCTTGAGGTTACCGGTCAAGGTCGGTCAAGGTCAACTTCTAATTTTCAAATAAATTTTTTACCTCGAAATTAAAATGAGCGGAAAATTTTATATTCAGATGGTGTCTTTTGTCATGGGCTAAAATGACCTCTTAAGGTCATTTTGAGGTCAATGTTACCATTTACAAAATATCCAAGCCAGTAACTTTGGTGCGGTTGTTTCAATTCAAAATTACCTCTTTAAAATTTGTAGAGTACCTAGAATAGGAGTTAATTGATACCTATTCAACCTTAAGGGCATTTGAAAGTCAAATTTTTAATACCGAATTAAAATTGTACATTCAAGGTAGTCTAACGTAATTCTTTATGTGATCTGGACAAGGCATTTCAAGGTCAAATTTAATGTTTAATAATCACTCAAAAACTGTTTAAAAATTTTATTTTAAGAATTAAATAAATTTTAACAGTAACAAAGGTTGTCCTTCGCGATCGTTTAAAAAAAA